ATCTAGGGCAACTGGCATAACAAAGCTTATTAAGAAAATGTTCTGCATCCTACTTTGGTGAGTGGCGTCTGGGGTCTTAAAAGCTTGCAAGCAGCCATCTAAGACGCATCAATTGGTCCCAACCACCTGGAGTAAAGGAGAAGAACTCCAAAGACACAAGGAAAGTATTAGCCCAAGAGACAGAATGGGCCACATAAACCAGAGACTTCATCAGCCTGAGACCAGACGAACTAGATGGTGCCTGGCTACCACCAATGACCGTCCTGACAGGGAACACAAGAGACAGTCCCTGATGGAACAGCAGAAAGATGGGGTGCAGAACTCATATTCTAATAAGAAGACCAGACTTAATGGTCTGAGACTGAAGGTACCCTGGAAAGCATGGCCCCTGGACTCTCTATCAGCCCAGAACTAAAACAATTTCCAAGGCCAACTCTTCAGACCAGGATTGGACTGGACTGTGGCACATAAAGTGATACTCGGCAAGAGTGTGCCTCTTAGTCAAGTAGATACAAGAGACCAAAGGGGCAGCTTCTGTCCAGAGGTGAGATGGGAAGGCAGAGAGGATTAGGAACTGGTTGAATGGTCATGGGGAATCAGGGGCAGAAAGGAGGAGTGTGCTGTCGCAGAATGGGGTGAGCAATTAGGGTCACATAACAATGGATGTAAAAAAATTTTGTATGGGAGACTAACTTGAAATGTAAACTTTGTTTAACTACAACAATAAATAAGAGAAAATCCAGTTATGTTTTACTTTTCTTTATAGTTCCTATAAGACCCAATACAAAACTTTTTTATCTAATAGGCATTTAAAAATGTTTGCTGAATTGACTTTATAGCATCACGAAAAACACAGAAGACATTATACCTATAGAGGAAGACTGTGGACTAATCAGAAGGTCCTCTTGGACTTGTTCACTGCCTGGCACCGTCTGCTGATCACTCAGTGAACTCTGAGATGCACTGACAGGCTGCGACACTTCCTCATGAGCCTCTTCATCACTTAAAGTTTCTACTTTCACCCGGACATCTTCTTCGGTTCCCAGAGGCAAAGTAGTTTTTGTGCTCTCACAAGTGACATAATCAGCCACTCTTCTGTCTGTCTCAGATGGGCCAGGTAATTCTAAAGTCCGGGTATTTTCTGCCTGCTTAACCTTCTCAGGCTGAATCCTTCGATCAATTCCAAATGGAAAAGTCCAAGGAAAGGCTAAAGAAGAGTCAACTGGTTGATTTCTACTTTCTGAGTAGGAAGCTGAAGAATTCAATACCTGGGGAGAACTTGTCTGTGTGCTACACTTTACAGGACTTTCAGGAGACATAACTATGTAGCTTTTGCGCTTTCTCCGAGATTCTCGGCAAACAGGAATGGTTCTTTCTACCACACTGCACTCTGAAGAGACTGGAGAAATGCTTCCATCTCGAGAAGTAAAATTGCAGTTAGAATTGTTTTCTTGTCCAGCATCTAGACCCTTTTCTGGTTGGCTGTTGGGTGTATTCCACAAAATGCTTGATTTCATGAACTCTGAGCAGGTGCTAGCAACACTAAACATTTGCATATAGCTGGCTGCAGCTAGAACATCAATAATATTTTCTGTGTTAATTGACAGGGTGGCGGTGTAAGCATATTCTAAAAGGGGTATAAAGCCAGTCACTGTAACATGATGTAAATCCAACACATTCTTGTTCTCATCCTCTGCTTGGCCCACAAGTTTGGTGCGAAAGAAATCACTGCAAGCTGCTAGTACCACCTTGTGTGCCCGGAAGATTTTGTCCTGGACACGTATAGTGATATCACAAAAATGTCCATCATTTCGCAGCATATTTAGCTTTCCAAGCATTTCCTGGCTGTGGGAAGAGGAACTATGAGTAAATGTTTTCACACCCATCTTTTTCTCTCTCTTCTATAGATGTTCTTCAATGATGCAAATGAATCAGAAATGCCCTAAAAAATACAAAAAATAAAGCATTAATTGGTGGTTGGTAGTTGAAATAGAAAGTGATTTAGATTATTTTCATGTGGCCACTGTGCTAATAAAAAAGCTGAAAGATGGTAGTAGAAAGTTCAAGGCAGGGAATATATTAAAATACATTCTCCCTACCTGCCCCCAATCTATTTAATTAGCGGTATCTGTGAGCTAATGTTTCTAATAAGTTGCAAAGTTTTGAATAATAGTTTGTAAATAATGAAAATTACAGAGTGCTTTCTATGTGTCCAACACTGTTCTAAATGCTTCAAATTTGATACTTTATTTGATCACCATACTGTCTCTGCTGGGTAGGTACATATCATCCACATTTGACAGAAAAGGGTTAAATACCTTGCTGAAGTCAAACAGCTATTAAGTGGTGGACCCAGGGTTCAAATCTAGGCAGGCTGGCTCCAGAACCTGTCCTCTTAAGCTCGATGCCATACTGCCTCCTTCAGTATATAAACCAGTGGTTGAGAACCCAAGGTTTAGAATCTGAAGGGCTTGGATTCTTTGCTTAACCTCTATGCCTGCGTTTCCTCAACAACTTCCCCAATATTGCTACAATGATTAAATGTAGTAAACAATATAGTAAAATCTAAAAATTAAGTAAATGCTTAGCACAGTACCTGGCATTTTGTAAATGCTCAACTAGTGATAGCAATTATTATTATTTTTGTACTGCTAGTATAATAAAACAACAATCTCTCTGAGAGTAAATTTACCAAAAAATGATGTTTAGTAATCAATCAACTGATTGAATTTGCCCTTAAAAAAAAGATAATTTGCCTTGAATTCTCAAATACTTTCAATTTAGTAAATCTAATAATGCTTTAGAGTTTGTAAAGTACTCTTTCCCCAACTTCTTTTCACAACCTCTATGTTAAGCTGAGGTGGCTTCTATTACTTCCATGATAACAATAAGAAAACTGAGGCTCAGAGAAGTGACTAATAAAAGACAGCCAAAGCTAGAAGCTGGGTCTTCTAACTCTTACATCACAGTACCTATTCCAATGTAGAAACATACAACTATGCACATCAATGATTTCATCTAAGATAAATACCTTCTTTCTTTTTTGATAGTTAATACTAAAACAAAAGCAAAACGGACTTCTTTTTTAACGCAAACTTGGGGAAAATACTTTTTGTAAATTATCACTAGATTTATAAGAATTAAAATGCTTAAAAAATACAGCCACTAGTTTAAAATGATGTTGAAGATGATGACTATTTCATTTACATGGGAAAATGTTTGGTTTTGAGTATTAAGTCAATGCACAATTACTGGCATATAATAAACATTCAATAGTGGTAGCTATTATTATTATTATGTATTTAATGAAAAAAAGTGATGAAAACGTATATAGACTATAATCCCATCTTTATAAAAAATATATATGTATGTCTGCATACACACCACAGACCACAGAACAAGAGAGCAGGAGTCATAATCCAAGATTCATGGATTTCCTAAGGGATCCATGATCCTTCTGGAACTGTATAATGTCTGCATGAATTTATGACAGCTTTCATCACATTCAAGGGACTCACTGTCCATCAAAATATTCTGAACTTCTGGCACAGAAAAAGGTTTGGGAGATTTCAGTGATGAACTCTGAAGGGCAGAGAAGTACAGGTATTCTCTTCTTTTTACTAATTTTTAAAAACACCATATTGATGCATATCCCTGGGGTTCAGGTGCTCTAGCTTGAACTCTAGACTCACAGAGTAAGTCCACTTTCTCTTTTCTCTTGAAAGTCTTTCAAAAATCTAAAGATGGCTATCACACCCCATTTTCTCTTCTTTAAACTAAACATCCCTAGTACCTGTAAGTGCTCTTAAAATTTGATTAGCATCTTTGCTATCCAGAGAGTGCTCTGCTCTCAACAATCTCCACTCTTCAATGTTCCTTCAAGACTGGGTCCCAGAACTGCACACAGTATGACAGGTATGGTAGAATTACAGCTGAGCATAGCCTTGGTAGAATTACAGTTAGAACAGCTTTACTATAATAACCTCACTTATTCTGGACACAAACATCAGTAAAACTAATTCAGATATTTTGACAGTCATATTATTGTATATGCTGATTCATTCTATTGACATCAATTAAAATTTAATTCAATAATTGACTTACTAGAGGCGAGCCACTTTATTATGTGAAGGGAGGGACATATGTACCAATAAATTATTTTCCCTGGCCTCAATAAGCTTACAGTCCTATGTAGAAGAGATATGTGCATAACTAAGACTACAATAGGTACGGTACAGAGACTGTTTATAACAAAGTGCTATGTGAAAGCAAAGAATGGAATGCCTAATTCTGATAGTGCAAGGTGAACAGTCTTCACAGAGGAGGTATTATTTAAACACGGGCTAATGCAGAATTTTGATGGCTGAGAAAATGCAAGAAAGTTCCAGAATATAATGGGATTATATGCTATTGGCTCATGATCCTAGAGTGCCTATTTAATGTGCGTACTTTACTGGTAAATTGTTAACTGGAATTGTAAGGTATTCCAAATGTGAGCATGCAGTGGGCAGTATCAGTTCAAACACTGAACAATTCATTACATTATCATTCCTTAGAATGTTCTATGCAGATAAATGTATACGGGAAGGGAAAAAGGATAAAGAAAAGATAAAGGGAAAAAGAAAAAAAAACCTAAAGATTTCAAGCAAAATAAATACAAAAGGACCACTGACTATTCTACTATGGGAAGACAAAAGAGTCAATCGGGAGCTGTTCCCTGTCTCATATCACAATGGAAAAGATAAAAGGCATAAAAGTCTTGTGCCTAGATAGTCAGGTAAGCCATTGCAATAATTATCTTGACCATAATCAGAGATACATGTTCAAATGTAAATCTGCTCCATATACCCTTCCCCAAGACAAGTAATCACAAAGAGACACTAGGCAGCTAGGATTGGTTTAAGCAAAACAAGGTACTTGCTGATTTATTTATTATAGAAAGGAGAGGAAGTGGAACAAAATGGGAAGGATATATGTAAATACTTCTGTGCATTTGCTGCATCCCAGTAAATCAGCTCTGCTCTAAAAGCCTGGTCATCAAGAGTACTTAGTATGATTGGCATCATGTGGTTCAGGGAGGAACCATACCCTCAGGACAAGTGACACAGTCTTAATCCAAGGACCACCTGCACCAACAAAGGTGTGAAGGCATGAAATTAAACATCTTACCTGGACAACATGTGAAACAGTGTGTTACAACAGAACCAATTTAACTTCGGTGTGGGTAGGGGTCTCAGACAACAGACGTTGTTGCTGTTGTTAGCTGCTGTCGAGTTCATGCGTGCACAGTAGAACAGCTCCATAGGGTTTTCAGGCTGTGACCTTTGGAAAGCTGACTGCCAGACCTGTCTTCTGAGGTGTGCGCCTCTGGATGGGTTCAAACCCCTAGCCTTTCGGCTAGCAGTCAATCGAGTACTAAACTGTTTGCACCACCCAGGGACTTCAAACAGATACTACATCCCAAAGTAATGTGCAAGACCACTTTTGCAAGGAGATAGCGGAAAACTGTTTTTCAATCTTGAGTCACACCCACCTTCAACCTTTGAAGAGTTAAAGATTAGAAAAGGAGTTTTGGTGAGAACGATTAGTGTGTTGTGAGTTCCAAACCCCAGCCTGCTTCTTCCTATTCCTCTCTGCAAGAGAAAGGGGTTGAGGCGTGTTTGCCCTTAGCCTCAGATCTATGGAAAACGTGTGCCACACTTGAAAAAAATCTGAAAGGCACGAATCTGCTTTAAACACTGGCCAAGACTAGGAAGCATGTCTGCCATCTCCCAACAGTATACAGAAGCAATGTAGTGGAGTGGCTGAGAGAACAGACTAGAGCCCGAATGGTGGGTTTGCATGCTGGTTCTGCCGTTTACAGCCGTGTGACCGGAGGCCAGTCATTTCAAGTCTCTGTAACTCAGTTTCTTCAGCAGTATCACAGAGACAACAGAGCCTACTTCAGAAAGTTGCTCTGAGACTTAACTGACCTAATACAGTGCTCAGAACAGTGCCCAGCACACTATAAACACATTAGTTGCTGCTGTTACTACTCTACTACTACCGTTAAAGACCTTTTCTTCTTACTGAACTCTCGCCTCTCCCAATTCTGGAGGGTCCACAATCCACAGCCAGGAAATGAGGAGGAGGAGTGGGGTAACACAGACAGAAAGAAAAAAGAAGGCAACCAAACCCTACTCGTCCAGTGCAGGCCTGTAATAGGCCTGAGGGGGGAAAAAAAGAAAAAGCTTTAGTTTGAAGAAGTTTATTAGTTCTTGGACAGATTGGTTTTTTTTCCTGAAAATAATCAGAAAAGTTATTAAGACTTGTCCTCCATGGAGCTGGGAAGAACTAGCCTTTCAGAATAAATATAAAAGAACAAACGAAAAAAAAAAAACCCAAACCCCTAGCCAGCAAGGTGATTCCAACCCATAGCAACCCTATAGGCCAGAGCAGAACTGCCCCATAGGGTTTCCAAGGTGCAGCTAGTGGTTTTGAATCGCTGCCTTTTGGTTAGCAGCCAGGCACTTAACCACTGACCCACCAGGGCTCCGTAAATGGACAACGAAAGACAAAAAGAAAGATGGATTATCCTGCAAATCAGGCTTGTTCAATATAATGGTTACACTTCTGTGATACAAAGTATGATACAGCTGGAGGCACGGGAGGAGAGGAAGACTAAGATCAGACGGTGAAATACCTTGTATGACACTTTGTTTATTACATGCATCTTCTAACGTGTCTGTGGAAACTTAGTCCCATGATATACTCTATGATAAAAAATTACGTGGAAAAATGTATTTCAGAAATACTGCTATATGATGCAGCAATACTTGGGAAAGGGGTGAAATTTTGTGATTTAAAACTGTCATACATGATACCAGATAATTCAGAACCCTGAAAATATAACCTAAAATTTTCTAAATTAGATAATTCTGTTAAAGAAACATCTAATTTCTCGCCATATGTGTAGATGAGTATGTATGTGTATAATTATATATTTAATTTGGAGCTCATTTAAAATTTGCATTGAGTAAAATATATTACTTAATTCTCGTTATTAATTTAGAACTTACGCAGCATTCAAAATTAATAAAAAGGTATTTGTGTAACACTTTGCAACTTGAATTGTTCAGTAGTTCAGAAACAGTTTCCTTCCCACTTCTTTTATTCCGAGTAACTGATGAAATATTATACATGCTTATGAAAGTTGCAGGTGCCAGCAAGTTTTTATAGGGGGAAAAAAATCATGCTTTTGCTTTGCAGTTTAAAAAAAAAGTTCATGGAATGAACTTAATACTGTTAATATGTCAGTACTACCTGAAGTGATCTACAGAGTCAACACAATCCCTATCAAAATTCCAGCAGCCTTTTTTTTATTCCAGAAATGGAAAAGCCAATTGTCAAATTCATATGGAATTGCAAGGGGTCCCAAATACCCAAAACAATCTTGAAAAAAAAAAGAACAAAGTAGGACCATTCACATTTCCTGATTTCAAAACATGCTAAAAGCTACAGTAATTAAAACAGACTGGTACTGGTAGACATACAAATAGACCAATGGAAGAGAACTGGGAGTTCAGAAATAAAATTATACATCCAGGGTCCACTGATTTTTGACAAGGGTGCGAAGTCCATTAAATGGGAAAGAGTAGTCTCTTCAGTAAATGGTGCTGGGACAACTAGATCTCCACATACAAAAGAATGAAGTAAGACCAATATCTCATACTTCACAAAAATTAACTCAAAATGGATCAATGACCTAAATATAAGAACTAAAACCATAAAACCTTCAAAAGAAACACAAGGGTAAAGTTTCAAGACCTAGTGTTTCCCTTCCTGCCTTCTAGTCCTTGCCTCCGGGCTGTTGTGCCCCTTTAGTCTCATTTTGTTTTATAGGCCTGTGTCATGGTTTCAATTATATCCCCCAAAAAACGTGTGTATCAATTTGGCTGGGCCGTGATTCCCAGAATTGTGTGGTTGGCCTCCATTTTGTGATTGTAATTTTATGTTAAAGAGGGTTAGGGTGGGATTGTAACACCACCTTTACCCAGGTCACATCCCTGAGCCAGTGTAAAGGGAGTTTCCCTGGGGTGTGGCCTCAAGAGGTAAAAGGGAAGCAAGCAGAGTTGGGGACCTCATACCACCGAGAAACAAGCACCAGGAGCAGAGGGCATCCTTTGGACCTGAGGTTCCTACGCAGAGAAGCTCCTAGTCCAGGGGAACACTGATGAGAAGGCCAACAGAGAGAGAAAGACTTCCCCTGGAGGTGACCTCGTGAATTCGGACTTTCAGCCAACCTTACTGTGAAGAAATAAATTTCTCTTTGTTAAAGCCTTCCGCTTGTGGTATTTCTGTTATAGCAGCACTAGATGACTAAGACAGCCTGTCTAATCTTTGGCTGAAGGGTGAACCTAAGGAGTGACTTCATTACTGAGCTAAAAAGGTATGCGGGGGCCATACTCTCGGGGTTTCTCCAGTCTCTGTCAGGCCAGTAAGTCTGGCTGAGACCTAATTTTTGAGAATGGATTCTTAGATATGACACCAAAAGTACAAGCAACAAAATACAAAACAGATAAATTAGGCTTTATAAAAATTAAACTTTTTACCTCCGAGGTTCACTCTTCAGCCTGGGAGTGGACAGCCCCGTAAAACCAAATGAGACTAACGAGGTACAGGAGTCCAGTGACAAGGGCCAGAAGGCGGAAGGGGACAGGGAAGCTGGTGATAGGGAACCCAAGATTGAGTAAGGATATTGTTGATGTGTTGTGAGATTGTTAACCATTGTCATAGGGCAACATTTGTAGTAACTGTTAAATGAGAAACTATTTTGTTCTGTAAGCCTTCATCTTAAGTGAGAATAACAGCACAATTGGAAGAGCGTAGTCAATGTCACTGAACTGTGTACGTAGAAATTTTTGAAACGGTGTATCTTTGTATATTTTCACCAAAAGAAAAAAAAGGTTGAGAATTTAGAGGGTTAATATGTTGTGGGGTTGTTAACCAATGTCATAAAACAATATGTGTACTACTGTTTCATGAGAAACTATTTGTTCTGTAAGCCTTCACCTGAAGTACAATAAAACATAAAATAAAAAAAAAAATTAAACTTTTGTGCATTATCAAAGGACTTTATCAAAAAAATAAAGAGACAACCTATAATACTTAGACTATATAAACAACTCTCTCAACTTAACAAGGAGTCCCTAGGTGGTGCAAACAGTTAAGCACTTACTACTAGCTGAAAACTTGGTGGTTCAACCAACCCAGAGGGAAGACAGGTCTAGCAATCTGCATCTGAAAGGTCACAGCCTTGAAAACCCTATGGAGCAGTTCTACTCTGCACACAGGGGGTCGTCATGAGTTGGAACTGACTCAGTGGCAACTAACAACAAACCACAAGACAAACAACCCAATCAAAAAATGGGCAAAGGACTTGAATAGACATTTCAGTGAAGAGGATATACTAATGGCTAACAGGCACATGAAAAGATGCTCAACATCATCCCTAGTGATTAGGGAAATGCAAATCAAAACCACAATGAGGTATCACTTTACACCCACTAGATCACTATGATTTAAAAAAAAAACAAAACAAAACAGAAAACAACAGGTGTTGGAGAGGATGTGGAGAAATAGGAACCCTTATCCACTGCTGGTAGGATTATAAAATGGTACAGCCACTGTGGAAAACAATTTGGTGGTTCCTCGAAAAGTTAAACATAGAATTACTATATGACCCAACAATTTCATTCCTAGGTATATACCCAAAAGAATTTAAAGCAGAAATGCAAAGAGGCACATGTACACCTATCTTCACTGCAGTACTATTCACAATAGCCAAAAAATGGAAACAGCCTAAATGTCGATCAACAGATGAATGGATAAACAAAATGTGGTATAGCTACACAACGGAATACTACTCAGCCATAAAGAGAAATGAAGTCCTGATACATATGATGACATGGATGAACTCTGAAAACATTATACTGAGTAAAATAAGTCACAGAAGGACAAATATTGTATCATCCCACTTATGTGAAGTATCCCGAATAAGTAAATGTATAGGGATTAAAGTTTATTAGTGGTTACCACGGGTGGGCGGGGAGGGAAAAGACTCAATACTCAGGGGATACTGAACTTCTGTTAAGATGATG